GGCTTCATCCGAGCTACTTGCCCGATAGAACAGAGTTAAAAGGGCCAGGAAACAAAAACAGTGGGCTAAAATACGCCCAAACTACAGAGTTGGTGATGATTCATGTGGATTCATCACTGTTAGGTTCTTTTCCACCAACAGGGAACCAGTTCCATTGCGGTTTGTGCACCTAGTTTTGAAGCGCTCTGAAAATTTCAAACAAACATTTTTTTTAGAACTAGAAAAATTAGTTCTCAACTGGAACCAGAAAATAGCAGGTTTTCCATGGGAAAAGTGGGTGTGTCATATTCTACAGGTTGTAACGCATTGTGCAGCGCCCTCTGTTGATGGTTCTGTCAAAACTGGTGGAAACGTGGGTTGGTTTGCTAGCTAGCACCAAAGTTCCAAGAATCTTGAATGGAACTGGTTCAATCAGAGCTAATTTGTTGGAAAAGCACAATTTGTTTTACATTGCATTTACAAATTTGATAAAACTTAAAAGAAACATGCACACACTTTTTCTGAGCTCTACAGGCTCTATGCAGTAGTATTCAGGTACCATTCCCTTGTATTACCTGTTGAAACAGGATGATGGGAGAGAACAAAGAGGCAAAAGGGGAAGATTTATCCTAATATTACCTGTTGCTTGTACATCTATACCTGTCTATACCTGCATTTGCATAGACAGGGGGCACATTCTAAAGGTAAAATGGCTACATGCATCCTCATGGAACCTAATAGTGTTTTTGATTCATTTCAAATCACCATGATGGTCAGACAGGGAGAGACAGGGACAGTGAGTGACTGGGATTACCTGTCTTCTGTCCTGTTTTCTGTTTTTTCCAATGCTAGATTAGTTGATCATGTATTAGTCTATGTGTGTTCGTAATGCTGTCTCAGCCCCGTGTCTGCGCCACCTTAACACAAATATAAACACAGACTTCTTTTTAGAAAAGACCCAGTGACCCCTGGGTCAGCCAAGAAGCTTCTGTGTTGTTCAGTAAAGCTTATAATGCAGACAGACGGCCTAATCAGTGTGGATGTTCCATCTTGTGTAGAAAGCCAACATGCGTTTTTGTCGTGACAGTATAAACCTAAATCACACTGACCTCAAACAATGTAGTTGTTTATTTTTGGGCAAGTTAATATTGATCCAATTTTAAAAATGTGCTAGATTAAATTTCTGCCAATATGTTTGGATTGAAAGGACAAAGCTGGTGATATTTTATATTTATTATCCTACTAAAGGCGTACTTCTTTAAAAACACATCACAAATATATCATTGTTTTATAAAAGGCTGTTTTTTTCTAACACTGTGGTTTTTAGTAATCATTTATCAAACAAGAGAAAATAGTACATTTGTTGGGGACTATTTTTAGCAGCGGATTAATCCACATGTGGTGCTCTAGTCCAGTGAGTATTTTTGGCAGCAAAACAGTGTGTTTGGGATTGACTTAAATAAACTAGAGTAAGTGTTTTGCCAAGTGCTTGCTTATGGTGGAAACTGTTGGGTCTCTGATTATATAAGGAGTTCGGTCTAGACCTGCTCTATTTGAAAAGTGTCCTGAGATAACATTTGTTATGAAGTTGCGCTATACAAATAAAACTGAATTGCATGTGTTCTTATAGCTGCAGTAAGTAACTTTTATAAAAATAACAATTTGTCATATTTTCTGAAACTTTCACTATATCCTGAAAGTAGTACATGAGACAGATAATTTCTGAAACAGTCACATTCCTCTGGCTCCTCGAAGCGCTCCTAATGGCATGGGAATGAGACTTAACAATTAACTGACTCTGCACCCGGCACAAATCTAAAATGGGTTGGTCTGAAGTAGCTACATTAGTTATAGGTGTGGTTTGGGCGTAACGTGCAATAAACCAATCAGAGCGTCATCTCACATTCCCTTTAAAAGCAGGCGCGCTTGTTCCATGGCGGACTGCTATTATAACGGCGGATTTGCCAGGCGTATGCCAGGAGCGGTTCACAGCCGAGGAGACCGACGGTCTCGTCAGGGCCGTAAAAAGTAAAGTATTAATGCCCATCTTGACCGGGTGGCGATGTTGCTGCTGCCTCTCAGGCTCATCCCCTCAAGTCTGCGCTTGTATAATTCCTATTTTACACTCGACGCACATTGGAATTTTCCCTCCACCGATGCACGTCCTTAAATTAGGGAATGAACTTGCGCTCCGGGGGGCGGTTCAGCGAAAAGAGGAGGCGTGTTCCGGCGCAAACGTTCCCTGGTGCTATTTTGCTGTTTCAGAAAACAATTCCGCCACAGACCAGGAAAAACCTAGTCTAAAGTCAGTGGCGCTTATTCAGATGCTATTTTAAGGGCGCAGACTTGAGGGGATGCGCCTGAGAGGCAGCAGCAACATCGCCACCCGGTCAAGACGGGCATTAATACTTTGCCGCATCCCGGACAGCTCCCGCTCCAGCATGTCAAACCCGGTTTGCTGCAGGAACGGGTGGTCCTCCGGCGTGTAGTGGGTCTGGATCCTCTGCACCTTGGTGTTTGCGCTGCTCCCTCCTCAGCTGGCCCTTGCACACTGCTCGGCCCGTGTGCACTGCTCCCAAGGCCAGGGTCTTCTTCCTGGAAGCTGCGTTACATTGTTTGGATTTATTGTATGGCTGTGTTACATTTATTTCATGTCAATAATGCCACTTCTCTGTATTTTACGGCCCTGACGAGAACGTTGGTCTCCTCGGCTGTGAACCGCTCCTGGCGTGCGCCTGGCAAATCCGCCGTTATAATAGCAATCCGCCATGGAACAAGCGCGCCTGCTTTTAAAGGGAATGTGAGATGACGCTCTGATTGGTTTATTGCACGTTACGCCCAAACCACACCTATGACTAATGTAGCTACTTCAGACCAACCCATTTTAGATTTGCGCCGGGCGCAAGAGTCATTTATCCCGCCGGCATAATAGCAACAGCGCCGAGATCCGCCCACAAAGCTACTTGCGTTTAGCGTTTGATACTTGTGTTTCAGATCGGCAAGATAGGGCCCCTAGAGTCACCCAGCTTTTGGCTTTTTTGCTTGAAAAATAATTCAAATGATTAAGCAATTCTTTAAATTGTTCTAGATTAACTTTCTCTCAAATGGTTAATGATTTCAGATCTACATTTGTCCAATTAAAAAAAAAAAAAAAAATACTAACAGCTGATATAATGGTTTGGCCACTGCTGAAGCCTGTGTGCACTGTGTCTGTGAATGGATTGAACAGTCCACAGTGGCAGAGCGCTCCACTACAGTGTGTTATTGTTATATTAATATTTACAGCGTCCCACAGGGATATATCCAACGTTGCTCTGTGTTGTTCATAAGCCTTGACTCCTCCAAGATAGATTTAAAGCAGAGACATAGCAAGGACATGAATCAGGAGAGGCAAAATAAATTGACTTTGGCTCAGTATAGCCTTCAGCACTTTAATGTCTTCTTTTATTTGGGATATAAAAAAGACAAGTTTTCTCATATATCTGTAATGGTGTCTTGTTACCTGTGTGAAGGAGGTTTTGTGTTGGCCCCATTAGTCTTTCTGTCAGCAGGATATCTCAGAAACAACTGACAATTGTGAGAATATTTACTACACAGATAAGTCTTTGGGCAATTTTACTCCTAACTATGACTTAGTTCAGATATAAATTTGACTTCAAATCCTAGAAGTATGTTTCCCAGAAATGTCTTCATCATTCTCTTGTAGTTTGTCCCTAGTTAGGTCTTGTTGCCAAAACCAGCAATAGAGTTCACTGCAGTGTTAGCTGTAGAGTCTGTAGATAAGTACTTAAAAGGGAATATGAGCATTTTCTTATTGCTGACGGATCAAGTTTGTCAGTTCTCACTTGCTGTTTTGCTTTCTTGATGGCCTTTCATAATTGCTTTAGAGGTCCAGTGTGTAACATTTAGGAGGATCAATTGTCAGAAATGGAATATAATATTCATAGGTATGTTTTCATTAGTGTATAATCACCTGGATATAAGAATGATTGTGTTTTTGTTCCCTTAGAATGAGCTGTTTGTATCTACAGAGGGAGTGGGTCTAATCTGACTGCACCGGGTGGTATGTTACACAGAACCATCTGGGAAGTAATTATTGGAAACTGTATGGAAAAGGCACTTTCAAAAAATACACGGCAAGTAATTGGATGAACCATCTGTCTTTCACCGTGAACTTCAACCAATCAGATCAACAAACCATATAACACAGTCACTTACTGAAGCCAGTCGGGAGAAGAGAGAAATCCTCTTTCCCATGGAGAAAAGCCTTCGGTGTATATATATTCATGGGATGTCCAGAGGGTGGCATGGAGACTTTAAGGGGTGGCAGAAATATCTGCTGATTTAATCACAAACAATCATAAAAATCAATATTAGCTTGGAAAAGCCCCCAAATGAAGAGATTTGAACTCAAAAACATTATTGTGTGAATAGAAATATCTAATGGTGGCAGTAGAAATCAGTACATTGTTTTATTTCCAAATCTTCAGACATTTATACAAATGTAAAATGTGGCCAAACATTAATTTCTGTTCAAAAACATTATTTTTAGAGTTAGTCCAAATTAAAGTGTTAAATTGGACAGCAAACTGGGGTGGCAGCACAGGTGACCTGGCATATCACCCTACATCCATTCCTGTTCTCGCCTGATGATTCTGCGATCTAATGACTGCAGTTGCCTTGCAAGGTTAGAGGTCCTCTTCTACAGAGTCTGCCATGATGAACCACCGTGCTGTAGATGGGGCCTTTCACGTTTTTCACACATTTCGTGGCCACTGTAGTTTCTCCTACAAGCTTAGAAGGCTGAGCTCTATTCAAATGGTTACAATCTGCAACTTCATTAGATGCCACTAAATCCTACATCCTTTAACTCTTTTCCCAGGTTTTGTTTTATCATTTTAGGTCTTTATTAGTTACTTATGTTCTTATATAAATGTAATGTGGGTGAATATGCACAATGGGGATCACATTATCTGTCATTAGTAACAGGATTTTCACTTCTTCTTCTCGTCTTTTTAAAGGTTTGCTAAAATTGAGATCAGCGCATCCAAGCCCATTATTCCATTCAGAGAAACAGTGGTTCGTCCTCCAAAAGTGGACATGGTGAATGAAGACCTGGGCAAGCAACAGAAAGTAGCCATCATTCACCAGGTGAGGCAACCATACAGTCACTGAACTGTTGTGAATATGACCAGTTCATGAAAGCTTCTATTTTTGCTGTTGCCAGCACTTTGTGTCTAGGTTTTTGCTGGGAAATTGCACACAGGAGATGATGTCTTTTACAGAACTGTGTGTTCAAACAACTTGTTTTACATTACCAGGGCAGAAAAAATTGAGCCATTAGAAGGAACAGTGGCCCAAGGAGCAGATTTGTTGGATTTGCTTAACACAGCCCTCACCATGTCTGTGTGAATATATGTGTTGGTAGGTGAAAGAAGAGGTCACTCAGGGCCGTTCGTCTGACACCCTGCATGTGGATCCCAGTGGTCTTGTCACTGTCACCATTCCCAACAGAATGGCCACTGTGAGCGTCCGAGCAATTCCCCTACCAGAGGGTAAGACCTGGACACACATCAAGCAGGCTAACACAGTTTTTTACACAAAGAGATAGAGTTGAAACCCTGTCTATTTCCACACCTCCACTCACTGAGGGATGGAGATTGATTTACTGTTATCAGTACCACGATCGATTCTGCTTATTGGTTCGAATCTTTGTTGGTTCCCTTGCTGATTCCTGATCAATTTCCTGTGTGGAAAAAAACTAGACCTTTACATGTTTTCAGCATCAGCGCAACTGTTTTATTATCTCTGAGTCTGCACACAGTGAAGAACAAGAGAGGATTTTTCTATTATTATGTTATATTTGATGTTTGAGTCTTTTTGAAAACAATTGTAGACAATTGTCTTTTTTGGAAAGTGACGTCAATTGTCAAATGACCGCCGAAAAGTTCATTGATACTTAACTACCCAGCATCAGTGATATTGGTGAGGTGAGGTGGCTGCGCAGAGCCTAAACAATACTAAAAGACAGCACCCACCCCAGCCACAGCCTGTTCTCCCTTGCTGCATTCTGGGAAGAGATATAGAAGCTTCTGCTGGCATACCACCAGACTTAAAGACAGCTCCTTCCCTCTTCATCATTCAAATGAGTTTTTTTTTTTTTTTTTTATGACTCGTTAATCAATTTTTATGTTGTTATTAAAAGTAGCATTAAGGGAACTATATCTAAAATTCATCATGACAATAAAATAACCTTGAATCCTTGAACCATGAAATGTAGCCCCACCATGAATGTGTATGACTGAGTTAGTTTCTGTTTGATGGGCTTTGCCATCACTGAGTGAATGTGTGTGAAAGGGTGAATGTGGCACGTAGTGTAAAAGCGCTTTGAGTGGTCGGAAGACTAGAAAGGTGCTATACAAGTACAGGTCCATTTACCATTTACCATTCATCTCTTCCTGCTGAAACAAACATGCAATGCATATCAGCATAAAGGTGCATGCATTGGACATTTAGTTCATGTTTTTTCATTAAACCAGTCAATAACCTGTGATATTCAGCTGTCTGTTTTTCTGCCTGTGGAATAAACCTCCACTCTGATGGCATACACTTTACTGTGACTGCACCTAAACCCTGCTTGGTTTTATTCCAACAAATCAGGGAGTGATGGATATCTTGGGATCCCAATGACAGCAGTTAACTGTGTGTTTGAATAGAAAACCAGTGTGTCAAAACCTTACTAGATGATAGAAACTATAATGAACACTGAAACTAGAATCATGAAGTGTCTCATAACTTCATTTCACTGTTCCATGAAACTATGTCAGAGGTGACTCACCTGTTGGAGAGAAGCACAGAGCTGATTCGGAGTCTGGAGCAGGTAAACATGTCCCTGAGGGAGGGGAAGACTGTGGATGTCAGCCTCAGGACCATGGAGGCCATCGCTGGACTCAAGGCCCAGCTGGAGAACCTGCTGCAGGGGAGGAAGTGGAGGAACGCTGTGGAGCGTATCTGGGCCTTTGGGCCTCGCAGGTTTGTTTCACATGGACTGTAACTCCTCCAGGATACATTTATAGCAGAGACACAGCAAGGACATGAATCAGGAGAGGTTAAATATATTCAGTTTGGCCTTGTAGATCTGACATAGACTGTAGTGCTGGATATTCCCCAGCTTTTAAGAATCAAACATGATCAATTAGCTGAAAAAAAGAAAGCATGACTATCCAGTTCTCTGCCTCAATAAATAAATGAGAATTAGCTTAGTGCTAGTGTAATGTTTAATATGAATGGTGACGAACACACAGAGAATCATCCCCAACGCTGTTCTTCCCCTCAGCTCTAAGGAGCATTTTAGTCTCTTTCCACTCAGGTTTTTGGTTTTATGGCCCCCAACTTCACTGTTTTGATTCAGTGTCACAGTTCTCATCATCCTTCCAGCCACAGGGTTAAAATAAACCTACTGTACACTAGCTGCCCAGCACCAAGCAGCAAACTGAGAGTGGCTGGTGAACATAGAGCCTTTTCTCAGGAGCTGGTGGAGGCTAAAACGGAGCTAAAAGGAGAGTGAATATTGGAATATTCATCAGGTGGACATAAACATGACTCCAAATGAATGTTATTGTTGCTTTGTGTCTGCTTGATATTTATATAATAAATTGTGTGCTATCGTGTATGTCATTGTTGTCTCCACGTAGCCAAAAAATCTTGAATGAATGCAGCTTTTAAATGTACAATATATATTTTTTGTCGCTAGGGGATCTCTCACATCAAAACAAAATCAAAGACAATGTCTGATGACATGTTGAAGTAGCTTCTCCTGGTTAGGATTCCTTCAGTGTTCATGGTTCAGGAGGTTTCTACCGGGAGCCCAATGATCCACAGAGGTCTCCTCCTGTCCAACACAAACAGACCCGCTGATTAAAACCACTAAACACACTGAATAAAGCAGTTCCACCTTAACAATCACTGCTTCTCCCACACTGTTGGACAGACAGCAGACAGACATCGGGTACAAATCTAGAGTTAAACAGCACCAAGATCTAAACAGTGGATGGTAACAATGTGGCTTCAGACTGGATAAACAGTCAATGTATGACAGCTTCTGGCAGACAACCACAACGCTGAGGCAGGTACAAAGGGGATATGACGCCGCTGACAGGAGGCCAGTGAAACGCCGCGTTGTCTGAATAAAATGACAGATTTCTCTGAGATTGAATAAATGGGTACAAATTCTCAGTTACTCACCATGTTACTGTTGTTGTTTTCAGGTATGGTCCCAACTTTTTGCTGAACAGCGTGGAGGGCTACCAGCGGCTCTCAGTGTGGCACTGTCTGGGTAGGGGCGACAAAGCTGGCGAGGCTGGAGCCGCTGTTATACGAGACTTTGATAACAGCATCGTCAGCGGCTTCCAGCTAGCAACTTTGTCGGGACCCATGTGTGAGGAGCCCCTGATGGGAGTTTGCTTTTCTGTGGAGAGGTGGGACGTCCAATCTTCAGCCGTGCCACAGCACCAAGACTCCTTAGAGGAGAACTCTATATCGCATGAGGCTTTAGCCAACAGCAGAGTGGAAGGAAGTACTAAGACATCTTCAGAGGTGGAGGGCACAGTGGCAGGGCAGAGCCAGGCCAGGCGCAGGCCAGAGGCTGCCTCTGCAGACTGCTACAGGCCAGTTTCCGGCCAGCTTATCGCTGCCATGAAGGAGGCCTGCCGCCGCGCCTTCCAGGCTCAACCCCAGAGGCTCATGGCTGCCATGTATACATGCGAGATCATGGCCACCGCTGAGGTGCTGGGTAAGAGAGCAGTGTCAACCAACTTATGCCACACAAAGACAATATTTTAGGCCTGAGATTTCTGCCTCCACCTTAGTATATTGAAGTAAAGTCAAGTGAAGTCAACAGCAACTTGTCCTTCCAGTGTAACAGTTTCTGTGAAGCATCCACAGAACACACTTTGGTAGAAAGTAATTCCCATGAGAACTGTTCAGAGTGAGGTGTGTGGACTACCTACAGGGAAAAGTTTGTGGAAAGTCCCATTCACCTTCATTGTATTGAGGTGGAGTCAGAAATCTCAAAACCTGGACAAATAAAACCTTCCATTATGTAGCACATGATTTAAACTGAATAAACTGATGGGTTTCAGTATGTATGTAATATTGGCTTTTGGTGGGGCTTTAGTTTGTTCCATTAGTACAGAAACAACAAAAAGAAGTTGATCTCTTCTGATGTCTTCTGAAGAATGTGGTCTTGCTGCACAGATGTCACTCACAGTGCTATTGTAAGAACACAGTGTGTCAGCAGGTTCAATGAGCTGTATCTCTCCAGTGTAGTTTTCCACATGCTTAGACCATACTAATATAATATATGGGTGACCTCTGATGAAAGAATCCCACCGAATTACATTCTTAATACATAAATAAATTGTAGAGTCATGTTATCCATGACTGTGCCCCCCCATACACACTCGACCCTCACAGTCTGTGATTTCAGCATGAGAACAACAGAGTTAAGTATTGATTAATGCTCCACAACACTCCCTAAATTGTTGTCCTCTGAAAGTCATTAAGATGAAAATGAGGCTTGAAATGCCATTTGACATGTTGGTAAACAATATCTGCGGGCTTGTTAGTAGCCACAGCAAGCTCGTTACACAAACAATGCTTTGTCAGCTGAATCAGAGCAGGCCGATTAAGTGAGGCGTTACCTGAAAAATATCCATTAAATCCTGATTTTTGGTTCCATCTGGCTGTTTGAGAAGCACCAAGTGTCCAATTAGGTTATGTGCTTTACTGGCCTATGTAGATTTCTGCCATTAGTCTGGATTCATGAGAGATCCATTGTCAAATGGCCCATTCATCTATGATCTCTTAGATGTAAGTCTCTCATGTCTGTGTAAATAACTGAAAAGTTTCTGTCTGACATGTAACACTAGGCTAATGTTGGCCTATAATTAGTATTAATGCATCTTTGGTTACATACACTATAGACCACTGAGTGCATTGATTTACTATAGTTTACCTATTATTATGTGATTGCATGTTGTGCAATTAGACGTCTCTCCCACTCAGTCAGTATCCAGGTCGATAGAATTCATCGATAGGTGCTTTAGATCACACGTGACTAGTTTAATGAATATAATAGTGTGGTTGTCTATTGTCGGTGTTTACAGTGGGGTTGGATTACACACTTCCACTGAATAATTGTTCACACATGCAGAAGCCTGTTTCTGTTATCACCCATCAGTGTGTGGACTCTTTTGTATGTATGTGTGGAAGTGTGAACCTTGTCTCGCTCATCGTCATCAGTCTGATTATGTGTTATTCTGTGTGTGTGTGTGTGTGTCTAGTATATATGATAAAGCTCCAGTGTGTAGTATTCAGGAGGATCTATTGTCACAAATGGAATATAATATTCATAGGTATGTTTTCATTACCTGAATATAGGTATTCCTATATTCCTATATGTTTCCGTTACCTTAGAATGAGACAAGGGAGCAGAGACCACCATGTTTCTACAGTAGCCCAGAGCAGACAAACCAAACAATAGCTCTAGATAGGGCTACCATAGTTTCTTCTTCGTGCTTGCAACGGAGGGGTGAGGCGAGTTGGTTGCAGTGTGCAACTACACCATTAGATGCCACTAAATCGTGCACACTGGTCCTCAAGTGAGAATCATTGTGTTAACTTTAGGCTACTGCAAGCCTTAGCACTCAATTCGTTTTTTTTGCTGTTTATCTGTTCACATAACTTTTTAAATGTGGCCCGTATCAGATTCCAGTATGAACAGGTCACGGTCCTGAAGTGACCCACATAATGAATGTTGATTTAGAGTGACCACTTCTCTTTGGTCCACTTTCATATGTCATATTGAAAATATCAGTTTCCATGTGATTTGTGCTGTTCATACTGTCATGGAAAAAAATCTGATCCGAGTTATTTGTGTCCGTTTGGCCTACAGTCGCAAACCTTGTGTAAGGTATTACTAAAGAGCAAATTACACACATGCATAGGTGTGACATTTTTTGTGATGTAAATTTTGAAACATTACACAGACACTCAATGTAGTATGTATAGAACTGCATCTACCGTCCGTCCACACTGCTGTCCATGCCAGTGCTCTTTTCAAGTTATATTAGGGTTAAGGACAGGTTCACATTTTTCAAGTCTGTCATAATTTAATACTCGCATGCCATATGTATTGAAAGAGTTTGTAATCATTCCTCTGTTACATAGTTTGTCCACCAGAGACACTCACCAGTTGATTTCTCAGCTGTAAAATGTTTGTTTTAAAAAATGACTGTCAGTCAATAGTTAATAATAATAAAATTATAATAAAATTATTATCGAATCACAATTGATCGGGCTATAGTTCGAACCTTAGTCCAGTTTATTAAAATGTCCTCACCTGCTCTTCCAGGGAATCTGATCATGTGTTCTGCTCTGTATAATGGGTGTGTCCTGACCCTGTGTCTCTTCCTGCACCAGGCCGAGTATACGGCGTACTGGGGAAGCGAGAGGGTCGTGTCCTCCATGAAGAAATGAAGGAAGGGACAGACATGTTCATTATCAAGGCTGTTCTGCCCGTGGCCGAGAGCTTCGGATTTGCTGACGAGATCCGCAAGAGGACCAGCGGATTGGCCAGTCCACAGCTGGTCTTCAGCCACTGGGAGGTGATTATTTTTTATCTTTTATATGCATATAGAAATAAAGCACTTAGTTTGTAGGAGTATTGCCCAATGCATGATTAAACAACTATACCACCAAACAGGTGCTAATGATCAACAACATATATAATGTAGGTTGACCAAAACCATTAACAGAAACTGGGTGAGGGAGAGCCATACTAAAAAAGTCAGTTTACTGAAGACGAAAACTAAAAATTCTTACACCATGGCAAGAGTGGGCCTAGCAACCAGACAAAAGGTGGTCATCCTGCATCAGCAAGGTCTCTGAATGGCAGAAATTGTGAGGCAGACAGATGTTTCCACATGTGCTGTCCAAGCTCTTCTGCAGAAGAACCAAACAAGGTTGAGGACCAAAAGCGCAGCGGTCAGCCAAGATAGCTGAGTTCAGCAGATGAAAGACACATCAAGCTAACTTCCCTTCACAATGGAAAGAGGTCCAGCAGCACCATCAGCTCAGAAATGGCCAAAACCAGTGAGACCCTGGTACACCCATCTATAGCCCAGAAGATGATTTTCAAAAGTGGAAGACTTAAAGCCCAAAACCTATTCCTCTGATGTGGGAACAAACCCAAACCACTCACCTTTGTGCGAAAACACAAGAACTGGGTTGCAGAAAAATGTCAGCTGGACTGATGAGTTAGAAGTATTCCCTGAAATATTCGGCTCTAACAGAACACAGTTTGTTCGCTGAAGAGCTGAAGAGCGCTACAAGATTGAGTTTCTACATGCAAAAGTAAAGCATGCAGGTTCCCTGCAGGTTTGGGGCTGCATTTCCTCAGTCCTGAGAAGTACAAACAGACTGATATCCATCATGCAATAGGCATCTGATCCGTCTCAAATTCATTCTGCAGCATGACGAGCCCAGACATACAGCCTGAGTCATAAGGAACTATCCCCAGTGAAAAAAGGAACAGATGGTATGGATCCCACAGAGCCTTGATCTCAACATCATCCAGGCAGCCTAAATCCACTGTGGAAGTCCTCCGAGATGCTTGGAACAACCTGACTGCCGTGTATCTTAAAAGCATAAAAACTGCACGTGTATCTAGGACAATTGATACTGATTAGATTTAGATTGCACTGAAACAGTCAAAAATGTCCTATGTCCTTTTCTAAGCACTTTTCCTTGATCTCAGTGGAAAACGAAAGATGTGAAGGAGAACTCCCAAGGACTTGTGAAAAGACAACCAAGGTGCTGAGAGAATCCAACTGCTAAGATAAAATGAATATACAAGCAGAGAGGTCGCCCGGTTAGCTCAGTCGGTAGAGCTGGCGACCCATGTACGGAGTTGCTGCAGCGGTCCAGGTTCAAATCTGACCTGCGCCCCTTTGCTGCGTGTCATCCCCTCTCTCTGTCTATCTACAGCTGGCACTCTCCAATAAAGCCAATTAAAGGCAAAAAAACCAAATATATATATATATATATATATATATATATATATATATATACAAGCAGAGAAAGTTAGGCCATTAAAATAATCGTTTTAAAATAAAAAATAAAAAGAATTGAACAAGGGGCCAGAGTTTCTTGGCATAGGTGCATTTTTTATAATTTTTTTTAAGTAGGGGAAATACATCTTTTAGTGCATTACACAATGGGGTGATTTAACGATACAACAGACATGTATATAGTATTTTGGTATGATTTATTATTTTGTTATTTGGTCATGCACTATACTTGTTCTTAAGATGACTCCTAATTGATAGATTTGAAATAGAATAAATCATTGCATAAAACAAGTGCTCTGTTGTTTCTGCATTAACATGGGTCTCCTGAGGTGAAACTAGAATGGTGCACGCTTTAAATGACGTTGCCCCAAGGAATTGTGAGACGGCGTATCTCCTTTCCTTTGATAGCCCAGTGTATCCTATCTTACTTAAAATTTTCCTGGTCATTTCACTCAGTTAGGAACCTTTCTGAGCAAAAAAAACACTATTTGAATGCAACCCTGATTTTTTATTTCTTTTTTTCCCCACAAACTGTCATTAATTAATGAATAAAAAAACTATTTATGTGACAAAACATCCTAACTATACAGTTTTGCTACTGTTTTGCTTGTTATATTATGTATATTATATAAAATTGTGTGAAAAGCAATACTTTCTGAATCCACTGTACATATAAATGCACGTGCACACACACACACACACACACACACACACACAGCTGGAGTGCGGCCGAGCTCGTTATGTGGGGCTTTAGGTCAATGAGGCTGTCTGGTTAATGAGATGGCTGCCTCGGGGGAGTTGGGATCAAAGCTGCGATAGACAACATGTGCGTTAGACCATTATACCTGCCACACACACACACACACACACACACACACACACACACGTCTCAATGTCCTGTGGGCCATATGCCAGTTGGGGTAATGGGTCAGGTTGTCTGTAAAGAAACAGCCACATGTAAGAATATTCTCACTGTGATTTGAATGTCTTAAATTTTTCATAGTGTTCATTTTAAATCCTGCTGGTGCTTTATTATTAAAGAGAAAGCACTGATGATGGTGGTAAAGGTAGAAAACTACCATAACAGAATACTATCAGACCGACTGCCACCTGCTTTATTGACATCATGTCAAGTTTGATTTATGACTTTGGTTTGGTTAAATAATAGGTAGTATGTTTACTAAAATCACCTACATGCATTTTTTATGGTTCATGTTGTAAAACATTATGTAATAACACCGCATTATGTAATACTCGACAAAATGTAATACATTGCACTTCATTGTGCAATAACACCCACATTCTGTAACAAACAGCCTGAATGTATATGCCTATGTAATACATTTCACCACGTTTTGTGTGATTTACATATTGAGGTGGGCATTGCACTTTTTTATAATGAAAATGTAATAATATGCTGCATTATGTAATAACCAACCAAAATAGATGTTTTTCCTAAATGAAACTTCCCAAATATTAAATTAAGCTCCTAAGACTTGTGATGCTGTCCTTTGCGTTGACTTTGATTCAGCATGTGTCGTTGTGAAGAAGTGAAATTTTCATTTGAAGTCACCATTAACTTGTGTTTTCCCCCACTATAACTGGTTGCTATGACAACACAGAGTGTGTTCTCATACAAAAAAGAATCAGCAAATGTTTACTAAATGTGTTGGGGAATTATTGGAGGAAAAGTAATCCACACATAGCTGAAGTTAAAACTATACTACATAGTGTTTTTTTTAAACAAGACGCAGTAGCACTCTGCAGTTGTAGAGTCCTTCAATGCAGCCTTTGTATGTGTATGTGAGAAAGAGCACTTGTGTGAAACCTCCAAATGTGGACAGAGTATATTTTAAGCCTTGCCATCCTCCATGTCTCTGCTCTCTGCTTGTCTCATGATCCCTGTTACCTCACACTCTGTATGAGACACTCCTCCATTCACTGTCACACTCACTCAGTTTGTGTGTGTGTGTGTTTTGGGTGTGTTTGTGTCCATCCTGCCAAATACACTAGTAGTTGGTGCCTTTTTCCAGGTTGTTTAAATATATGCGTATAAATAGACTAATTATCCAAATGCTCACTTCACAGCTCACACACACACACACACACACACACACACACACACACACACACACACACAATTTCACTCTTGGACACCATTCTTCTCTCCCGCAACATCACCTGTACTGCCCTCTCCTGGCTGCTGAAGTCATATCATAACATAGTTGTCCCAAGGTATCCCCCAGGGTTCAATGCTGGGTCCTCTCCTGTTCATCCTCTACGTGCTTCCTCTCTGTAACATTATCCATTGTCATGGTCTCCACTTACGCTACTACACTAATCATGTCCAACTCTACAAACTGTCTCACCGAAATGAAATTTTCCTCAAACTGTGTCAGATCTGATATGATCATCATTGGTTCCAAATCCCTCACCCAAACCACACACAACTTCTGCCTCACCACTCTGTCTCCCTCCCCACACATCCGCGACACCAATTCAAACCCCACACAAATATCATTAACGAAACATCCCTTTTTCACTAGAAAAAGATAGCTTGTCTCCACCCATCCTTTTTTGCTGCTCAACTTACAGTTGTGATTCTGTGTTGTGATTTGATTTCAGAATCAGAATCAGATTTAGAAAAGCTTTATTGATTCCTGGGGAAAATTAGTTTGTTACAGTTGCTCAGGGTGTTCACACAATGTTAAAGAATAGAAATACTAATTATAATACAATATTACAACAGAGTTTATACATTTAAAAATGCTAGCTTCACATTTTACTATGAAGAGTACTTTTTGAAAACAATGACATAATCCCTGTTGGGGGCTTTGTGGCAGTAAAACTAAAAGGGACATTTTCTGACCTAAAGGTCATTGTAAGAATACATTTACCAGTTAGCAAGAATATTAGCTCCCAACATCACCCTTGACTTAATCTAAATGTAGAAGGTTGTCTAAAACTGAAAAAAACAACATAATAAAAGCACATGTAGCTGCCATACAGTCTGTACAGCACCTATAGATCCTTTACATGTATTCCATGACCTTCTTGTCATCATTTCCAACCCCGCCATCTCGCAGCACCTCGCCTCACCACATCACTACCCCCAACCCCAGCCCACTGCACATTGTCTTGAGGCCATTGTCTTTGCCTCATTAAAAGTTGTCTGTCTGATTTCATTTATGCGCACCGATTTCTCACAAAGAGTTCATACTGAACCCCCCACGGTCCCCCCCAGCCCCCTCAGTTTAAAGACTCGTCTGCTGCTTAGTGCTGATGTCAACATTCCTACTGACAGCGATTTGATATGGCCAGGATATTGGATTAACATATGAATGAGCACAGAGGCAGAGAGAGCAGATTTTGAGCGCTGTATTGTTGTGTAACTGGAGGGTTGGTGTCTCCTGTTGGGACGTTTACATTAGATTTCCATCAGAATGGAGCTTTTGTTCGGCTGCAGACTGGAGAATTGTGTGAATAAGTCTTGTATTGATCAGCCGAAGCATCTGTCTGACAGTACCCTTGTCTCTCTGTGTGTGTGTGTGTGTAGAAATGTGTACTCTATATTATCGGCCTGCTAATATGCAGTCTGAAGGATGTCAACCTGCCGATATTTTCGCCTGATTTTAGCTTATCACAGATAAATACAGATAGATGCCAATTTAAAGGCACACCCTCCATTCTCCCACACTTATTTAACCATTCAATGACACAAAGCTCCACTCCACTAAATGTCTTGGAACACAATTCTTAAAAAAATACCAATATGTAGGATTCCAGTCAGGTCCCCCAGTCAAGCGGCAAAGCGGACCCATTAGCTGACTCTTACAGACAGGAAATTTCCAGTGAACAGCACGGCCAGACCAGGACCAAACAGCATGCATGGCCAATGGAGCCCAGTTTGACAACAGGGAATAAACTACTGAGGTGGTTTTCTTACCTGAGTATGGCTCCTAGCATCCCATGGCTGAGTCAGCTAGCGTTAGCTGCACGGCTAGCTGAGCTGACAAGCTAATGGTAGCTAATGTTACAGTTAGCTACTTTAGCTAGTCCATTAGGAAACTGTTCCATTGCACAGTAACGGCAGCTACAACGGAAACTGGGGCAGAGCATCTGGAGAACATGAGAGGGAAAACCAGAAAATATTTTCTACTTAAAATACGATTCACTTTCATCCAACTCACTGATAAAGTGGCCCAGCTCCCAGAACCATTCGCTCTGTGCTAATGAGCTCTCTGTTGCTGAAAGTCGAAGGTTGATTGGTGGATGTCATGATATTATTGGTTGAAATAGGTTGGTTCAAGTTTATGCAAGCACACATAACATTTTGCTCTACAGGAAGAAAAAATTACTGGATTTTGATTTAAGAATACAAAGAAATGTATTGGCATACATTGTTAAATAGGTGCAGAATATGACCGGGGTTGTGATCTTAAAGGATTAAAAATGTCATCTCCACATTAAGCCTCATCTTGCAAAGCTAATTATTAAGTTATTAAATCCCAAATGGGTGACAGTGGTGCAGTGGTTAGCACTGTAACCTTACACAACAGTTCCAGGTTTGAATCTGCCGGCCGGCTGGGACCTTTCGGTGTGAAGTTTACATGTTCTCCCCATGGGTTCCTTCCCACAGTCCAAAGACAATAAAGAGTAGATCAGTGAATTGATTCAGAATTCCATCCCTTATTAGTATTCTTGTACTGCATACACTGGCCTTTCAGTTATTTAAATTTCAACTATTTAGGTTTGTTGGTCAACGACAGTAAGACAGATTTTTCCTTAAATAGAGTTGAGCGTTGTCAACCTACAACTTCCAACAGCTAAAGAAGATACTTTACAATAACAGTTTGACAGTTTGAATTTGAACATTTCTGTTTTCCAGACGTTTCTTTTGGACATTGGTCGTTACACATACTACTTATTGTAACATTAATTCAGTCAGTCAGCCAAACACTTGGCTGTTGCAGGATCCCCCATCATTCCTCACCCCCGACTGGATCCCATTGTGCTCTAGCATATGCTGCTTACATGCGGTGTGTGTGTGTGTGTGTGTGTGTGTAAATGTGTGCGCGTGGTTGGAGTGTGTTGTCTCCTGTAATCCGCTCGTTGTTGTAGCTCACCCTCTGCCATCTGTCCCAGTGTAACCACTGCCAGGTGCAGGAGCACGCTGCCTCTGCTGCTACTGTAATTGTTCTAATGTGTGTGTGTGTGTGTGTGTGTGTGTGTGTGTGTGTGTGTGTGTGTGTGTGTGTGTCACACATCAGTTGGCAGCATTGAGAGCATTTGTCTGGACTTGGACTTGTGTCCTTTGGGACCAAGTGACACAGCTCTCTGTGTGTGTGTGTGTGTGTGTGTGTGTGTGTGTGTGTGTGTGTGTGTGTGTGTGTGTGTGTGTGTGTGTGTGTGTGTGTGTGTGTGTGTGTGTGTGTGTGTGTGTGTGTGTGTGTGTGTGTGAGAGAGAGAGAGAGAGAGAGAGAGATGTAGTCATTTCTTCAGTTGAACCAGTTTAGTAACAGATGGAGTCATGGTCTTTAGCATCTAGTCATGCCGATGAAACAGATTAATTAATCGATTAGTAGAAAATTAGTCTACAACCATTTTTATAATCAATTAATTATTTAAGTCACAAATCAAGTAAAATGCCGAACATTTGCTGCTTTCAGATGCTCCAATGTCAGGATTTGCTTCTATTCCATCATCTTTGATGATCTGATCATCTTTGGCTTTTGGACTGTTCCAACTAAAGTAGCAATTTGAACTCTGTGGGGCATTTTTCACTATTTTCTGATATTATAAAAACAATCAATGAATTGAATAAATAATCAGTTAGAGCTGCAACCATTAGACGATTAATCAAAAGAAAATTAGTTTCACAACTATTTTGATAATCATATCAACCATTTTGCATGCTGAAATGTCAAACCTTTTCTGATTCCACCTTAAATGTAAGCGGAGCCTTACATGGCAGTGCTTTTCTTTGTCATTAGTCATTTTAGATGGAGAGTCTTTGGGTTTTGGGAAGATGTCACTTTGGGCCCTGGGAAATTGTGCTGAGCATTTTTTACAATCTTTTGACATTTTATAGACCAACTGATTTAACTGTGAAAATGATCTGCAGATTAATAATCATTGGTAGCAATCCTATAATCAGTAAATCAGTCAGTAATGAAATTAGGTGTTGCTTTTCCAAACGTAAGATGATAAGATTGATAACCAGTCTTCTGTGCGTGTATCATAGAGCTGGGGTCAGGACATGGTTATCCTAGCTTAGCATAAAGACTGAAAACAAGGGGAAATGGCTAGCCTGGCTCAGTAATTTTATATCTTGTTTGTAGAAAAGTAACAAGACAAGACAAGCTAAATGCTAACCTGTTGATGCTAAGAAGGAATAGTGTCAGCGATCTTAGTTTACTGTGTTAGCTAAACATCTAAACTATCAAGCAAACGATCAAGTAGGTGTAGAGATATTTGGGATTTGGAAAGAAACCTGCTGGTGACGCTTGATAGGTCAGTGGATCACCAAAGTCATTATGATTCATCCGTCCGCAGCATGGGCCGATATTTGAACCACAGTTCATGTCAGTCTATCCCGTAACTGAGATTCAACATGATGGTGCTAGAGAGAGTCATATCCACTCACTCACCATCACATTTCTGTCCCCTCTGTCCTCTCGCTGTCCTAGGTCATCAGCAGTGACCCTCACTGGGTTCCCACCACCGAGGAAGAATACCTGCACTTCGGGGAGAAAGCCGACTCCGCCAACCAGGCCCTCAAATACATGAATGCTGTCCGCCGCCGCAAAGGCCTCTACGTGGAGGAGAAGATAGTGGAGCACGCAGAGAAGCAGAGAACACTCAGCAAGAACAAGTAGAAATAACATAAGACAGCACCAGTAGCTGCTCACATCCATCCATCCATCCATCCACCCAGGACTGCAGACACATGCTGAACACCACAACTGCACTCTTCCAACACTGACAGTCGCCATTATTTGCAGAAGGACAGATGTCGTTTCCAACCTCTATCGCAGCAGCAGTAGAACAGTTACAATCTTGCTGTTTATTCAACACTCAGTAATGACTGCTTGCATTATTTTCTTGTACAACAAATAAATTATTTGGGATTCTTAAATTAGTTGAGGTACATATTGAGAATAAAGTATGTATCACAAAATCTGTTATCTTTTTAGAAATCATATTGTTTTTGAAGGCACATATATGCTCACAAAGACAGCATGGGTCCCATTCAATGGTAAAGGATCAAGGAAATGTATTAGAAAAAGATCATTAAATTAGTATAAGCATAATCAGTGGAAACACAGAGCAGCCTCCTTTCGAACGCGGTCCGTCCATCGAGTGCTTGGTCTAGGATGTCTATGGAGCAGGTCTCTGTAAAGATGTGGGCACAACAGTCTCTGATTCCCCATTTTTTAGCAAGGCCAATGTAGTGACGGCTGTCCGTGGGGTCTTATTTAAAATTTGAAATCCATTATCAAAATCTTTTGTCCCTAAATATGATTTTGACAGGTCTTAAAAAGGCACTGGATTGACGCAGTTAACGTTACTTCTATGAAGTAGAATTTTTTTTCTCACTTTTAAATGTGTTTTGGAGGAAAATTTCCAGTACCACTTTTCCTAAAACTGTATTTATAATGATCTTAAAGGTGGCTGTGGCCCAGAGGCAGAGCGGGTCATCCAATTCAGTTCAATTCAGTTTTATTTGTATAGCACCAATTCATAACAGAAGTTATCTCAGGACACTTTTCAAATAGAGCAGGTCTAGACCAAACTCGTCCACTAATCGGAAGGTTGTTGGTTCGATCCCCGGCTCTTCCTGTCACATGTCGAAGTATCCTTGAGCAAGATACTGAACCCCAAATTGCTCCTGATGCTGTGCATCGGTGTGTGAATGTGTTAGTTTCTGTTTGATGGGCTTTGCCATCGCTGAGTGAAAGGGTGAATGTAGTCGGGAAACTGGAAAGGCGCTATACAAGTTCAGGTCCATTTACCATTAACATTTAAAACTATGTAAATACCCAATAAATGTATTTTGGACTGATACTGCAGCAACAGAGTATGTGCTGAAAGGTCAGGGGAGGTAAATGGTTTTCATAGCTGCTGTGTGTTTCTTCAGTGCTCCATTTCTGCACTAATGCAATCAAACACCACATCACAGTCTGATGTGTTCACGTGTCACGCTCTCAAAGGCCTGAAAACAGCCTTATCCTGTCGTCAGGCCTGCACTGCTGTGCTGCCAGTTGATAGCCCCGGCCCTGCGCATCCACTGACTGCTTATGGCTGGCAAGCTCCTCCTGTGAGACCTCGGCTAATGCAACGGAAGGGACAGGCTCGTCTCGCATCACAGAGTCAGTTACGGTCATGCATAATTGAAGAGCTCCCTTTTCCCGGCAAAATCTGGCAGTTTTGCTTTAGTCAAGTGGTTTGAATTAATTACACAGCCCCCATCCCGACCACCCTTCACCTCCTGCTATTTGAATATCATTACGTGGACCCTGAAGACGGCTTTTTAATTTGGATAATACAAATATGCTGGAAAATGGGAGATGAGAAGGGTTTTAATTATCAGGGAGGGGAGGCCACGGCGGTCAGCTGTCTGCCAGAAGCCGTGCTTGTTTACATATTACAGCAATACAAAAAGAGTCACCCTGACTTACTCGTCTATGTGTTCTGATGATTTTTCTCAAACCAAAATAACGACTGATGGTTCTCATAAATACACCGAACTCGGTGCAGAATGCTGATGATTCCCCTTGGACTGTCCATGAATCTATTTTTTTATTTCACACCTCACGCTCACCCACCCACTCCCCTTTCCTTTATTTATCTCTGTCCCTCCCCATCTACATACATGTTAGTGTATCATTAGACCCTTCCTGTCTGGTAATTTAAAGACCCCCTCCAGATATATTAAGACATTCAAATAGTCTGCTTGGAACAATAATGGGTGTCTGATATGTTTTTTCCACAAAAAGTATAATTTCTACATTGAAACCCTTAAAAAGTAATCTCCTCCTTCTAGCTCATTAAAACTTCTAGAATATCTGAATATGCAAATGTTGTTAATTTCACAACAATTACACAAGATGTCTCCTACTTCACTGTAAAGTCCATTCTCAGTGGATGTGCACTGGTGGCTTCAAGTTTCTACATCACACTGTACAAGTTGACACTGGACCAGACTAATATAAAATAAAATCAGGTACAATGAGAGCAGGAAGCCTGCAGCAGGGCTGATCACAGCAGGTTGCTTCTGTAGGACAGTGGTTCCCAGCCTGAGTAAACTGACAGCTAGGGTTAAGCAAGAAGTATGAGCATCAGACAAGTAAAAACATGTCAATATCCGTACTTGTAAATATAGAAACTTTTATTTTAAAAAATACACTTTTGTGATCAAAAACATTGCTCTGAAGCTCTATTCTGAACAGTCATCCTGCATAAGAAAAGAGCTAATAGAACAATGAGAAGAAAACACTGAAAACAGAACTTTGTCAAAAAAGAAGCCTTTTCAATCTGTATGATTGTTAAAAAACATACCCAATATAGACAGAGAATTATATAAAAAGTTCCTAAAAATATCAGGAAAACTGATCCGTGATCAATATTAACAGAAAATAATCTGCTGAAAATTCATCCAAATCTCTGGTTTTACACAGACTTCCTGCAGTTACTGTGTTCACTGTTGGTGCTCATTGTACAGTTTATCAGTTGTTTTCTACTGTTATTGTTGGAATTACCGTATTTAACTAACTTCACATTAAATGTCCATCATATTACTGTAATTTTCTCATGTTATAAATAATAAAATGAAAATATGTATGTATGTACATATATATGAGTATGGATGTATCTATATGTATTATTTATAAATATGCCATGGACAGTGATGTAAACAAACATCGGTAGGAAGAAATTATGAATGAAACGTTTAACGTCTAAAAAATATATATAATTACTGTAATTTAGTAGCATACTCCTGTAAAATTACTGTATTTAACTGTAACTTTGTAGTTATTATAATCGAAACACTGTCATTCAGCAGTAAACTGCTGTAGATTGCCAGTGTTAACTGTAATGGTAATGCAACTCAGTGGCCAGTAATGTGCTGTAAATTTACACTTAAAAACAAACTTGTAAAATACTGCAAATTTGATCTTTTCACAGTGTTTACGTTAACCCATCAATAACCTTAAACTTTGAGAAAGAGATTAAATGCAAATAAACACAAACACAATTGTGGTAAAAACATAGGATGCTTTCCGCTAGGCTCATATACAGTTTCCAAAATATTTACTTCAATTACCTAATTGTTGAGCTTGCATATCATGTGCAGGCATTGTGAACATTCGGTGGTCAGTATTTTGTGTGTACCAAGGTGTTTAAAGCATCAACGATCACAACCTTTTGCCCATTTATCATTATTGGCTGCAGTAAGTCTTAGCTGATTTGTATGATGATGCCCTTTTATGTGACATTCATAAGGAGCTTTTTAAACACCAATTCTAAAGAGTTGACTCGAGTCAAATATAGACTCTCGGTATCCCCTTCCTGCAGCCTATCGACAATGAGTCTTTGAGAGTGGTCAGAGAGGAAGTCTGATCCAGTGAATGATGCCTCCATTGACCCCTAGAATTCTCTGCAGAAGAGTATGTATTTACATGGTGTTAAAGCAGAGGTAAAATCAACAAAAAGAACTCTGGCATAATGAGTGGAGACTTTTAGATGCTCTGCTAGAGTATTATACAAGGTTACAGTCGCAACGAAACCAAATAATGAACACAATGACTGCAGGAAGTTGGTGTCAAACGAGCGATTTGGATGAATTTGAGCAGATTATTTCCTTTGAATATTGATCAGAGATTAGATATTTTTAAAAATTTTACACAATTCTGTCTGTAATACGTATTTATTTAATTTTATCATACATACCGGTACCTTAATAGGCTTATTTGTTCTATGTGGTTGTCAAGGCTTCACTGTGCCCTTATCCTGTGAGATTGTTTTCAAGTTTATATCTTAAAAAGTAATGTAAACTTTAAAAATAACAATGTTATGTTACTCACTATTGAATGAAATGCAATAATAAAAAAAATATAGACTTCTGTTTATTTAAGGGTCTTATACCCCTCAAAGGTCCAGTGTGTAACATTTACGAGGATCTATTGTCAGAAATGGAATATAATATTCATAGCTATGTTTTCATTAGTGTATAATCACCATCAATGTGTTTTGTTACCTCAGAATGAGCTGTTTATATCTACAGAAGAAGCGGCCCATGTTCCTACAGTAGCTGAAAATGGGGTCCTTTGTGGGGTTTTTTTGTTTGTGGCCTGGGGCGTTTCAAAAGGGGGGCTAGGGGTGGCCACTCCTGAAATCTGATTGGCCTAATTATCCTTACCTCTTCCACTCACACCCAGCATGCTAGCGTGTCATGGTTGGTACCATGCGTTAGGTCTTCTAGTTTTACATGATACCAGTAGCTTTAGAGCTGGCTTTAAATAACGCTCCAAAGTTAGGCTACATTTTGGAAATGGAAAAAGTGGCATGATCCATTTTCAAATGGATCCCCTGACCTCTGACCTCAATCAATGGTATCTGAATGAAAAGGGGTTCTCTGGGTACGAGTCTCCCTTTTGTAGACATGCCCACGTTATGCTAATCCCGGAGTTTGGGACATAACATTTTTTTGGAATTGCATAAATTGGAAATGACGGCCACCATAGTTTCTCCTATATGCTTGGAAGGCGAGTGGTATTCAAATGGTAGCAGTCTGCAGCTTCACTGCTAGATGTCACTGAATCATACACACTGGTCCTTTAAAATGAAGAAGGACTCGCCACCCCCTGCGAAGCTTTGGTGACTTTGGCGAAGCTGTGGATGTGAACTTGTTGCTCATATGTATCAGACATGATGGCTGCGCAACAATGGATTGGATTAAAACTGATTCTCAAAGGGTTCGGTCTCTAAAGACCCGTTCCAAAAACACAGCATCCTACACTTCCCACAATGCAACCCTCTTGTATCTTCTATTAGACCTTTCCTGCATGGTAAACACCCATATCTTCCAAACTCCATAACTCTGGTGCCAACGCCCCCCAAGAGCTACAGTAAGACCATACAACTGTATTCTCAGGCTGTTATATACTCTGACATGTG